CCATCATGCCGTTCCATTTATCTTCTTCTCCGCACACTGATGACAACCCCAAACGCTGTTTACGTGTCTTACCTGCTCACTTTCTCGAGTCTCCCAGACCTGCTGGGCCTCCTGCGAGGGTTTCTGAGCTCTGAGGCTGTGGCAGGCTTAAGCACGGACAGCTGGAAGCCCCTGGAATGGCAGCAAGGAGCCTGCCTGCCCCTGTTCTAACTCCCTTCCCTGCTTCGTTTTTCTCCAGAGCTGGTGTAGGACTTACCTTGTTCCGTTTTTCACCTGTCCGCACACTAAGTGGTCAGCTCCACCAGGCAGCAGTTTCCCTGTCCACTGCTCACTGCTCCCTCTCCAGCCCCTAGCACAATGCCTGCTGGTGCACGCAGGGACCCAGCAGGTGCAGTGGTAGAACACCTGGCAATGGAGAATTCAGTGGTGTGTGCCTGGTGACAGGAGCTACTGAAGCCTCCTTCTGCTCTTAACTGGGTCCAGCTTCGCTCTAAAGCTGGTGCCACGGACAGCAGCTGTGTCTATGCTGTCTTACCCAAGGGGCAGCACACTGTCTGGATGGCCAGTGGCCGCCTTGAAAGCGCCAGACTGCTCGTCTTGCTCAAACATGAACACGGCAGTCTCATCGTCCTCAAAAGGACACGAAGAGACAGATCTCTTGGGAAAAGAATATAGCGATATTTATCCAAGTCCTAAAAATGCTCAGACCCCTTGGCTCAATGGAGAAAATAATCTGTCAATGAAGTGAAGGAATGATGGGCTAAATGAAAAAGCAGCTGTTAAACACAATGGAACAACACGGGGCTATCTGGGGAAAAAAAAAAAAAAAAGCCTGTGTTAGCTATGTAAAACAAATATACACATGGAGCCAAGAAAAGGGCCACCCAGTCTGTGATTTCGCAGCGCTTCTGCACTGGAATTGAGCTCTGCCTCCCTCCTTCCCAGCCCAGCATCTTGCCTTGGCATCACCCTCCCCAGGGCCAGCTCTCCCTGACGCCCAGTAGGCCCCACTACTCAGCAAGGGGATAAACAACGGATGGGACTACAGACGAATGGTTAAAAGTTATTTAATGGCAGAACGCTCTTCTTAAAATAAATAAAATATAGGGTAAAAAGAGAAGCTAAGGGTGAAGAAACCCCAAACCTCAGAGCAAAGACAAACTCGTGGCTTCTGTATGCGTCGGGCTCTTTGCAGCCCCTCCTCCCCCTCCAGGGAGGAGACGCAGAGGAGAGGCCCCCCCGTGCCCCCGTTGGATGAGGGGACCTGGGCAAAGTGCTCAGCGGAGTGCCCTGTGCGTAGGGAGGGTTCAGTGAGTTGTAACTCTTATTATTGGAGCAGTCTCCAAGCCCCAACCTGGGTTTTGAAACTGGTGCCAGCCTGGCTCAAGCCAGGTTCCCTGGAAGTAACAGTTGACAGGTTTTGAACAGACAGCATGATCTCGTGTAGCCACTGTGGCCCAGCAATGTCGCTACCACTACATCCACTTTATCAACAAGGAAACCTCGTGTGGGGAGGTGAAATGCCCTTCCCAAGGTCACTGCTGGTGAGGAAGCATTAACAAGGGGGTAGGCCCGGGACGCTGGGCTCTGGGCTCGGAACGTGAGGGTGGACTGCCGTCAGAGACCAGCGTCTGGCTTCTGATGGATGCTGCAGAAGAATGTGTCAGGGCAAAGTTCAGGGACTTACACAGAAGTCCTAAAAACAAAACTGAGTTTGTGAGCCATCGTGTGAAGTATAATCTCCGCATCCTGGTCTTGCCTCTGGACCCCAGAGACCTACCACACGGGAACCAGGAGGTACACAGGGCCAGGAGACACCTAAGTGGTCTGCACATCCTGAATACCTACACTCAGCCCCTTGGTTCGAGGACTTCATCCATCCCTATTTCCCGCTGCTCTTGGGCTTTCCCTGATAACCTCTTCCCTGAAGATGCCAACTGCGGCGCCATAATCCCATCCACATTGTGATGGACTCTTACCGAACCCCTCATCTCACAAGGACAGGACTCGCTAGCAGGCTTGGGGCCAACTCCTCCCAACACACACCACGGCCGTCTGAAAGGTGGGGCACTCAGCCGGTGGGGCTGCCACCCTGAGGTTGCCGGGACAGCAGCTTCTGGAGGCTCTGATGCCTCCAGCCCTCACGGCTACCCGGCCAGTGTGCCGGTGAGGCTTCTGTGGGACCACAGGTCAGGCCCGAGGGCCACGGCGATGAGGCTGTTGGCCCCGAGTGGTCTGGCAGGGATGCTGGACACTGTTCGATACTCAGGACAGTCCTGCCCAGGGACCGAGTGTCTTGCTGTAAAACGCAGGTGAGTGATGTCTGACACCAAGGTGTCTGGAAGATCTGATGAGGAGGATCAAGGCCGTGCCTCGCACACCTGCACGCGCCTCCTGGAAACGTCAGTGCCCATGTTTCACTATGTACATTCAGAGAAGTACTACGAGATTCTTCCCGTCACCTCAAAGGACACGCTCCCTCCTTGCAGGGTTTCCAAGGAGCCAGGAAGACAGGGCACAGGACTGTGAGAGGCAAAGCAAAGCCCCCCAGGGTACCACGCACACACGGGGTCTGCAGACGGCCAGGCGTGCCACTAGGGGACCGGTGCATCCCCAGCTCCACCTTTCACCCGGCAGATGGTCAGAGGGGTCGGGCTGCTCGACAGAGGTGAGAAGAGGGGCCGGAGCGTCCCAGAGAAGGAGGTCTCAGGGAAGATAAACAAGAGTGACCCATCGCTCGCGCTGTAGAAAGAGAGGTGTCCGGCTTCGTAGTCCAGAAAGATCCCCACGCGCCGGGGCGGGTCCCGGAGGGGCACAAAGGCCCTCTCGGGTGAGTTGTAATAGCTGCCCAGAAAGACCAGGATCCAGAAGCCGTTGCCAGCCGACAGCTCGCCCGTCTCCTTCCTGTTGACGTTCTCCCTGCACACGCCCAGCGCCCAGTTGGCCCGCTCCCCCACCTCCACCTCCCAGTAGTGGCGTCCCGTGGTGAACCGAGAGTGACCCAGCACACAGGGGCCCGGGTCGAACCTCTCAGGGTTGTCGGGCAACGCCTGCCGCAGGTCACCCCGACGGACGCTCCTCCGGTCCTCGGACAGCACCAGTTCAGGGTTCGCGGTGTCTGGGTCCAGAGTCACATCCCCTGCAGAGAGAGGCCCAGGTGAACCCCGCATCTCCGAACACGGGCCCTGAAAAGCTGTCCTGCCCCTCTTCCAGCATGCCCGGGCAAGACATCCTACATCCGTTGTCTTCCCAGGTCCGTCCACCTTCACAGCCTCCTTTCCCCAGATGGGCTTTGGGTGAGGAGGGCGTCCTCCCAGTGAGCTCTCCCCTCCCCTTGTGCTCTACTGGGAAAAAAAAAAGCCACCCCACCATGTTTAGCTGCAGCTCAGAAGAACCCCGGAAGTCCTGACTGTGGCTTCACTCTTCCAGTTGGTGAACCCCGGCTGCCCTCCCTCAGCAGTGAAAAAGGACAGCTGTCTGCAGGCCCTTGGCAGAAAGCGGGCATTCTGACACTGGACGGATGCCGGGCAGGGGTGGGGGTTCCGACATCCACGCAACCTTTTGAGCCCCCCTCCTGAACGCATCAGGTGACAACTCTTGTCCTGGCCCCCCACTCCCCACCCGGCCCAGAGACCTGGCTTTGCTTTCTCTCAGCCTTCAGCTCTGCCTGCCAAGAAGACCGACCACGCAGTCTGCCAGGGGGACTAAGGGCAGACTTTCCTCCGGATGTACCCCACCCACCGGAGATGACATGGGACGGCTGAGGCGCGTTGCCAGCTGGCCCACGTTCTCTGCGAGTCTCCAGTTCTCTGAGCCACGAGCAGTGTTATGGCTGCCACACCCCACCTGCTCAGACCCTCCCGAGTCCTTCCTTCCCCCATTCCCAGGGCAGAAGCGCCATCAGAGCCGGGAGCCCACAGCACCTACCTCGGAATCTCCGCAGGGTCTCCACTAGCCCAGGGACCCTGCACACGGTCCTCAGCTCCATGGGCACCACCTCTGGTGGCTGCAGCTTCACATCCTGGATCCTGAGGGCAAAGCATCGGCGTCACCCTCCGCGGCAAAGCCCCCCACCTGCACCCAGCCGGCCTCCCCAGGGAAGGGCCGAGGGATTCATACCTGCGCAGAGCATCCCTGATGTCCTGTGGGGAGAGACACACACGGCATCAATGTTACCGCCACCACTGGCACCCGGTCTCAGGGTCCCTCCCTGCACCCTGGTCCCTGATCCCTCTCTCTGGGCTCCCTCAAACCCCGGGCACCAGAAACACAGATGCACCAGAAAACTGCTCTGGGCCTGTCCCAGCTAGAAGGCTGAGACATCCCAGGTCTCTGCTCAGACACAGGAGAACCAGAGAGATGTTTCCAGGACACGTGCGCCGAGGGGGTACGTGTTCCTAGGGTGCGGCCCAGCCTCCACAGGCCCAACCCAGACTGCAATGTCCCCACACAGCTCAGAGAACTCAGGGTGTTCCGGTGTGGGCTCCCTCAGTCATCACAGAACCTGAGTGCCCTGGTCTCTGCCTCCAGACGGCACCCTTGTGGGGAGACAGGGCACAGCCACCGCTGTGTTCACAATATGACCCACCCAATGCCAGGGTGACCAGGGTGACCTCACGTGACTCCCTGAGCTACCCGGAGCCTCGCCCCTGGGCGTCGGCCCCCACTACCCCGCCCCACCCGGCCCCGCAGGCCCACCCACCCAGCCCTCTCTCACCTCCTGTCTCCACACGGCTCGCCTCACCCCTTCACACAGCCTTCCCTGCTATTTTTTGTCCATGACGTGTATTTGGTGTGACAGCATTTACTGATTTCTTTAGCATGTCAGCTCCTCGGAAGTAGGGGTTTGCCTGTGTCCCCTGATGCATCTTTGGGGCCCAGAAGCATGACGGGCACACGGCAGGGACTCAACGCTCACTTGTCAAGTGAATGAAGACGAGGCGTCCGCCGGGAGCCACAGACGCTGCCCAGCCCCACGGCGCCCACTGCCGTGTCAGACATGGGTGAACAGAGCCAAGATGCAGCCCAGACAGGGGTTCCCTCCAGGCAGCAGACACAGTGAAAGGAAGGCCTTCCCAGACAGAAGTTACTTCTGTCTGGGAAGGAAGGGGCACGCAAGGCCTGAGAAAAAGGACTGTCATAGGCCTTTGGAGCCCCGGTGGGGTCTGGCCAGGCAGATAAAAGGACTGGGCACAGGGCCTGTCATGGACTGAACGGTGTCCCCCAAAAATATCTGTCAACTTGGCGAGGGCCACGATTCCCAGTACTGTGTGATCACCCACCATTTTGTCATCCGATGTGATGTTCCTGTGTGTTGTAAATCCTACCTCTAAGATGTTGATGAGATGGGATTACTGGCAGTTAGGTAATGAGGCAGGACTCAATTTACAAGATTAGGTTGTGTCTTGAGTCAATCTCTTTTGCGATATAAAAGAGAGAAGTGAGCAGAGAGACATGGGGACCTCATACCACCAAGAAACAAGAGCAAGGAGAACAGTGTGTCCTTTGGACCTGGGGTCCCTGTGCTGAGAAGCTCCTATACTAGGGGCTGATCGATGACAAGGACCTTCCCCCAGGTCTGACAGAGAGAGAAGGCCTTCCCCTGGAGCTGGTGCCCTGAATTTGGACTTCTAGCCTCCTAATCTGTGAGAGAATAAATTTCTCTTTGTTAAAGCCGTCCACTTGTGGTATTTCTGTTAGAGCAGTACTAGATATCTGAGACAGGGCCTGTGGTGCAAACAGCCTGTCCTGTGGTGTTTTCAAGGGGGTCTGCCCCAGGGGCATGTGGAATGGATGGGGTGTTTTCAGTTGTCACAAGACTGGGCTGAGCTGCGGGACTCACAGAGGACCAGCACGGCCGACCCCCCAACACGGGGGACTGAGAGCCCTACTCGGAGACCACAGGCGCCAGGGGAGGGACAGCAGCCTGAACACACGTCCTTTCAGTAAAACTACTCTGTAGCTGCAAGGCCCGAGGTGGCAGCTGGCCCTAGACTCTGCTGCAGCTGCTGGGACCCAGGGGCAGGCACCCAGAAGCCGCCCCAACCCCCGCCTCCTGGTTCCGGCCCAGCCACAAGGCTGTATGCCGACAGGGCCAGTGTCTCAGCCTGTGAGCCCAGTGTAGTGGACGCGGCCGCCGAAGGTGAACGCGCCGGAAGTGCGGTACCCAGGACGGCACTGTCCACGGAATGCTGTCCTGCTGTGCCTTACCCTCAGGCAGCTGGGGCAGGTGCCAGGACAGGACCGGTTAGACAGGCAAGTGAGGCTCAAGAGGGCCGCAGAGCGGGTGGTGGGCAGCCAGGCGCACGGCCTCGTCCGTGCCACACTGCCGCTCTCCGGCCTGACGCACCTCTGTACCGCTGGCCTCCTGCCTGCCCATCTGGCCCCACGGGACCTTGTTTCATTACAAACTCCAAGATGTCAAGACGACATGTGTGAAGCCCTGGATGCCACGCTGGGCACCCGGCATGTGCTGCTGCTCCCTGGAGGAAGGCCTATCAGGCACTCCATCTCAGAACATCCAGCCTCCACCCCTGGCCACCTCTCCACCCCGTGGACCCGCACGACCTCCTGCCTCCTCCTGCCAGCCATCAAACCCCCTGCTGAAACCACATTCCCAGGGAAACGGGCGATGCTGGCTGTCCCCTCCTTCACTTCCCCGGAGTCCTTCAGCCCGGGCACCTGGGCAGCTGCACCCCCACTGGGCCAGGGAGGCTGGGAGCATTGTCCCTGCTGTCATCTGGGCACCAGCAGGGGATCATCGTGGAGGGGCTGGGTGCCAGGGACGAAGGGACGCGGGCTGCGGGGACAGGGCTGGGGAGAGGGGGTGGTTCTGAGGGAGAAAAAGAAGCGGCTGGCCAAGATCACCCCCTGCTGAGACCACCTGGCTGAGACCCCAGGTGACATCTTCACGACAGACCCGATGTCCTCGCGGCCAGCCCAGGCTGCCTTCTAAAATGTCCTGCTCTGTCTGGCGTCTCTCTCCTCACTGCCTTCTCCCTCCCAGCAGCTCCGCCTGAGCATCTGGTGCTGGCTCCCTCAGCCCAGGACTTTGAATCCCAGTGCCTCCAGGATCTATGGACAGCCCTCTTCCTCCATCCAGCCTCCAGAATGTTGCTGAGGGTCCCCCCTCTGTTCCCTAAGCTAAAAACCATTTGGTGGCTCAGCAGAGGCTTCTGGATCAAGTTCAAAAGCCCAGGGACAGCAGCTGGGGGGCCTCTCTCGGTCCTTGAAACACGGGCTCAGCTCTGAAGGCTCCACGGGGGTGACCTCCCCTGGGGCATCCCCGAGGGGCCCCCCCAGACCCCCTGTCCACACCCACGGCATGTTATCATCTTCCATCATGCACACAACCTTCCCCAACGTGAGTGCCTGAGCTACTGAAGGCAGGACGTTGGCCTTACACCCACACAGGGCCAGCGCAGAATACAGAGAAGACATTCACCACATCTGCTGGGTGAAAAGTCCAGACAGGCAAGATGAGAGCCCAGATAATGGTAATGACAGACACGTAAAGCCCCTACTATGGGCTGGGCCCTGTGCTGGGAGCTGTCAACACATTCGCTCACTCACACCTCCTCACAGCCTATGAAGTCCACGCCCACACCCATTCCACAGGCAGGAAAACCAAGGCAGAGACAACAGGCCCGCTGGCAGGGGAAGCATGCCCTTCACTGTCCCCCTGACCTGCCCAGAGCCCACAGGCAAGAAGGAGATCCCAGGGTTTTGGCTTGGGGGGCACTGCCAAGGAAGGCCCAAGTGCAGGGGAGGAGCGGGCCCCCCAGGGCAGAGAAGGGCCACCCACTGGGGACAGGGGCTGGGCACACCGAGGCAGCGATGCAGGGATGGGCAAGGGTGGAGGACAGAGACTATCTGCAGAGACTGGCCTGCAGGGCCCAGAGCCCCTGGAGCATGGATTTTGCGGGAGCAGCAATAAAGAGCCCCAGGCAGGTTTGGGCCCAGGAGGAGTGTGCTAGGTTCACTTGGGACTGGGAGGAAGCCGATGGCAGGAAGTCCAGGGGAGGACCGCGGTGCAGTCCAGAGCGGGTAAGAACAGGGGCAATTTGGAGCTGAAGCCCACAGATGTTTCGGAGGCCTGCCTTCCTGCCTCTTTTCCTCTGCACTCAGAGGGAACGGAGGTGAAGGAGAAGGGCGCCCCTCTCTTCTCACCCCACCTGCCTCCCCTCCTTCTTGCCGTCTCAAGCCTGGTGGTCCCAAATCTTAAGGTGGAAGGCTCCCTGGTGCTGATCTTCCAGGGCCCTAAAATCCTGGCTGCACCACCATGTGGCCAGCCAGTCCCAAAAGAGGCCCTGGACAGGTGGGAACAGGAGTCCCCAGGCTCAAGCTTCCCCAAGGCCGAAATACATCACAGGTCCCTCTCCCCCAGGCTGCACAGATGAGACAAAACGTCCACTCTCTTTGCCGTTGGCCAGCACAGACAGTGACCGAACCACACCTGTCTGGGATCAGAACAAGAAACGATAAAGATAAACGAAGCATTCATTTACACGACTTAATAAATACCATCTGTTTTGAGTCTACGAAGAAAAACTACTATTTTTGTTTAGCAAGTGGACACGGCTGGGATACGCCCCCTTCATTATACAGATGAGGACAAGGCCCAGGCAGGCACGCACGGTGTTGAGGGTGTACGGCGTCGAGGGTGGACAACACCTATCCCAGGCCTGGACAGGGAGATGCATCCACTCTAACTCCACTTTCCCACGCAACACCCTTCATCAGAAAGACAGCACCCTCCACAGCCTCCACCAGACCGAGTCCAGCAAACTAGATGGTGCCCGGCTACCACCACCGACTGCTCTGACAGGGATCACAACAGAAGGTCCTGGTCAGAGCTGGAGAAAAATGTAGAACAAAATTCTAACTCACAAAAAAAACACGAGACTTACTGGTCTGACAGAGACTGGAGAAAATCCTGAGAATATGGCCCCCAGACACCCTTTTAACTCAGTACTGAAGTCACTCCTGAGGTTCACCCTTCAGCCAAAGATTAGACAGGCCCATAAAGCAAACAACAATACATGTAGCTCGACCACGTGTATGAGACTAAATGGGCACACCAGCCCATGGGCAAAGACAAGAAGGCAGGAGGGGACAGGAAAGCTGGACGAATGGAAATGGGGAACCCAAGGTCGAGAAGGGGGAGTGTTGACATGTCACAGGGTTGGCGACCAGTGTCACAAAACAGTATGTGTATTGTTTAATGAGAAACTAATTTGCTCTGTAAACCTTCATCAAAGCATAATAAAAAAACCAATCAATAAATAAAAGACAGACAGCATTCTCCACCCAGCACCCTGCTCCACTGGTCCTCACCTGACCAGTATGTGGCTTTGCCCATCACCGCTGCACCCCTAACTGCCCGCTGCACAGCAGGGGCCGGTGCACGCTCGCTCACAGAGGGATGGGCAGAGGGCCAGCAGGCGAGCTGGGTTCCCTCCTGGCCCGCCCCGCCCCCTGCCGCCCCGCCAGGTGGCTCACCTGCAGCAGCCCCAGCGCAGGGAGCTGGCAGCGCCCCTCCAGCTCAGCAATGAGCCCCCCGAGCGCAGCGCTCTGCTGCACCAACCTGGCCGCGTTCTCCCGCAGCCGGGGCAGCACCTCCAGCTCCTCTTCCTCGAGCTTCTGCAGCAGCTGCTGCTCCTCCTCCACCAGGAAGCGGCGAAGACGCTCAAACTCCGCCAGGACGTTCTGCCTTTGGCTCTCGATCATCTTCTGCAGGCGAGAGAAAAAGACGGCTGAGACTTGGAGTGCCCCACACCCTGGTCTCCCCCGACCCCCAAATTAAGGCCTACACCGCTAGACCTCGCACAGTAGGTGACACACAACACCTCATCAGACAGGTACTCCCCACTACACACACACACACAAACGCCTTCCTTGTCAGATAGGCAACACACACACAGAAACTCCCTTGTCAGACAGGGAAAACACACACACACACACATAACTCTTTCAATATCCAAATCTATGCAGTTCCTATATGCAGATGGTGGGCACTCAGAAAACTAGGGTGCCACGTTATCTCAATCTCCTGGTCCCTGAGTTATGGACAGTGAGTAGAAAAAATTCATAAAGGAGACGGAGCCAACATGGCTCTACAGACAGAAGCACCATGCCATCCCTCCACAACAAAGACCCGAAAAACTAAGTCAAACAGAGACAAACATCAATCCTGGAACCCTAAGCATCAAACGAAGAGATGAAGAACTCAACCAAGCACTGAACGGACTAAGAAACTGACAGAGAACAGAGAGCAAGAAGAGTTACAAACGGAGGTCCCCATCTGCTAACACAGCACAGATCCACCATCTCGGACTCCTGTCGGAGGTCAGCAGACAGGCAGTACGGGAAAGCAGATTCACAGAGCTCCCAGCAGAAGACAGAGTACCTGGTAACCAGTGATACATGCTCTCCCACCCCCCCACTCTGTCTCCCCCTGCTCGGCCTCCACCACTTTCTGGCAGACCAATCTGCTGCTTCCCAGTGGGCCGATCCGCCACTTCCCAGCGGGCTATGACCATGGCACGGGAGGCGCCAATTCTGTGCCGCTTGGATTCACCCCACCTACACCAACCGGCTTCTTCAGTGCCATTTCTTTGTTGCTGGTGTTGCTTTTCTTGGCCTCTTTTGGTTTCTTCCCTGCCTCTCACCTCCTTTCTCTCGAACACCTGACTCCGTGTGCCATCTTTGCTTCTTCTTGACAGGCTGTGAAGTGCCGCTCGGCTGGGGAACTATTTCCCTGATCCGTGCTGCCACACTGGTGGGATCCCGGGGGGCTTTTTTTTCTTTTTCTTTGTTTTCTCATTCTTTGTTCCTTTTTCCTTTTCTTCTTTTCTCGGTTTCTCGTCTCTTTCTACCTTCTTTTCCGATCTCCTGAACACCTGGCACTGTGTATCATCTCCGCCCCATCTAGCCGGGCTGTGCTGTGCAGCTTGGGAGCCGCTTCCATGGTCTGCGCAGCTGCACCAGTGGGATCCCTGGGGGCG